CGATATATTTTATCATTTGAAAAATGCACCCAACTGTTATTGATTGACTGCATAATTTCTAACAATTCCAAAAGATATAGTCTGAAACCCTATTTTTAAGAACACATGGAAGTAATTCCAGTTTTAGCCCAAACATTTACTCTCCTCCCTTATTTATCCTGTAAGCATCAACCATCAGCATTTAATTGCTTGATGACGTCAAACCAGGTTGAGAATGGTGTGCACTCCCTCTCACTGCCAGGAGTCTATAACAATAACCTCATAGGACAGGCAGAACTGACCCTGTGGGTTTTCAAGACTATAACTCTTTTTTTAAAATCATTTTACTGGGGGCTCACACAACTCTTATCACAATCCATCCATCCATCCATTGTGTCAAGCACATTTGTACATTTGTTGCCCTCATCAGTCTCAAAACATTTGCTTTCTACTTGAGCCCTTGGTATCAGCTCCTCATTTTTTCCCCTCCCTTCTTGCTCCCCACTCCCTCATAAAACCTTGATAGAGATATGGTGGACTATAACTCTTTACGGGAGTAGAAAACCCTGTCTTTCTCACTAAATATTTACTAAGAGTCTATTAAAATAATCATGCACTCTGATACCCTGATCTTCAAGAGCTTACAACCTACCAGGAGAGATATTTTATTCCTTTGCCTCACCAAGGGGAAATTGAATTAAAAGATAATGGTATGGGAATGCCTGAGAAGACTTCGTTAGAATCCTTACCCTCTCCCCAGCCCAATCTCCAAGCATATTAACCAATTTTGTCTGGTCTCCTTAGCCTTCTCTTTCACACCAGCTCTTCAAAGAAAGGATATGAGGGAAATAAAATTGAAAACAAAAAGTTGTCTCACCCCAGAGACTACGGCCCTTCTGACCTGGAACCAACTAAAGCCATTCCAGGAGACCACCTTTCAGCCAAACAAAAGCAGGTCCACAAAACAAACACCACCACCTATAAGGAGCAGCGAAACTGTACCTTGGAGCACTCAGTTATACAAGATCAAAGGACAACACTGGCTCCAAAGCAAAAATGAGAAGCCAGGAAAGGGTAGAAAATCTGGACAAAAGGAATTGGCACCAGGCATCCTGAGCGGCTGACACACTGTGGAAAGTGCAAACAATGTCACCGCGCTTTTCATACTAACTACTGAATGGGAAACTTAGCTCTGTAAGCTTGCACCTAGAGCACAAAAAAGCTGTTAAACTTTTGTTTCAGATGAAACACTAATAAGACCCCAGTAGGCAATTTGGCAAGGGTTCTAAATAGATAATGTGAGGAACTCAAAGGGTTAATACACCAAGCTCAATCTATCTTGCAACCAAAGAAATGAAAATTAAAATAAGGCCATCTGCCTCACAATACAAAAATCAAAAGTGGTATTTGAGAGACGGGTGAAACTCCTGAGACTAGGACCCCTAGTCAGCCCTCACGTCTGGAGAAGAACTCATTCCCTGTGTCAATTCTCAGCCACACAACTGCATGTTTACATGGAAACGACTGCATTAGTGAGGTAGGCACACTCTAAAACAACCAAGCTTCTGAGAAGAGCAGCATTTACCCAATGACAGATTCAGAAGGGTTGTAAAGAGGAGGAATGGGCACAGGAAGCACAGGGAGAACGTGGGATAAGCATGTTAAAATCATAGATACTGCAATCAATGGCAAACAAAATGCACATGCATTAGTGAACGGAAAACTGATCTGCTCTATAAACCTTTACCAATTTACAAAAAGTTTTTTTAAGTGATCCTATAGAGTCTTAAGTAAGTCAAACAAGGCATTTAGTGGTGGATATGTAAATTGATACAGATTTTCCAGAAAGTAATTTAATAATAAATACCAAGAAATTTAAAATGTTCATGTCTTACTCTAGAGAAAATATGATCCATATAAAAGTATTAACATATATATGCTAGAGTACCACAAGCAGTGTGAAAACACAAACTATTTAAATATCTCACAGTAGGGAAATGGTATGCTTAATATACTGCAAGCATATAAGCACTAATTTACAGTAAGATTAGAAGAAAACACTCCAATAGCTCTAATTTTTTTTTGTTTGTGTTCCAAACTACCTTGTGTATTAATAACTTGGAGTGAAAATTTCTAATATTTTATATTTAAAAATTATTTCAAATGTTTTATGGCTTGAATTTGTCTATGATATTATCATTTAAAACTCCACATTGGTCCAATTATTTAAGGTAGAATAGCCTTCCAGGCAACAGGACAAGGAAAAGGAAAAAATTAAGTTCTACAGAAGGCATTACAAATATGGAGCACTTCAAAATGTTCATGGAGAAATAAAAATAAAAGATAATGGAACCTTTTCCATGAACTTTTTGAAGCCCCCTCATACATCTGACCACCCCTAAACACATTCCAAAAGTACTTAAGTCCTGTCCTACGTGGAGAGGTACGTTACAAAGACTGAGAAGGAACCGTTAAGAAAGCAACCTCTACAATTAAGCTTCATGTTAAAGAGGAACAGACTTTGGGTGCATCACAGCCACAATGCAGAAACTGTCTGACGATATACAAGTAAAGAGTCACAAACAAGCAAATTGTGCATGTCATTTCAAGAGTAGACACTGCCTCTGAAAGCCTTGCAGGTTTAATCATTATTCCTGTGAATGTTCTAATGAATCAGGAATTTAGTTGACCTTTAAGAAAAAATTATTCCTATCACTGGTGAGATCATTCAAATTTAAAATCAACAGAAACCCGTGGGATGACTGATTTTAGTCCTCCCTGCAGGCACACCCCCACACAAGACTTACCTTTCCTGAGACGGATTCTCCGTCATAGAAGAGATAGTGCTTTTCTACTTTGCCATCTTCAGTTTTCATTTCCGCCATTTTCCTGGTTTCCCCATCGTTAAGAACAACATCGATTTCACAAATGGGACCAAAAAAGCCTCCAAGAAAACTCTGAAATAAAAGGAATATGCTCATAATTATCAGGTTTAGCCAGTCACTACAGTTTATAATTCAAATGTAAATACCTGTGACCTACATACAGTTAAACAAAAATATTCCTATCCCCAGTGGAACGATAAAATTTCTATCAACTTTTACATCAAAACGAATTTAAACATGCTACAATTTCTATCTCTTCCATAGGTAGCCACTCTAAGGCAAATACAAACATACACCAGAAATCTAAGAAGTTAATTTTAATATATGGATTTGAAATTATCACATTAGTCTACTTCTATGAGGTAGTTTCACAGATCGCAGAACTCACGCTATCAATTCAAACTACTTATAGAAAATCAAGTATCACAATATATTACTTACTGTAAAGGTCTAATAGAACAGGCCTGAACAGGATGTGCTACATTGTACAAGTCATTGGAGTAAAACTATTTCCACAATCGACAGTACTAATAAATTTTTCCTAAGAAAATTTATAAGCTTTGCTCTGTATATCCCACATGATAGAGATTACTAAAGAGCAACGGATAATTGTTTACCAATGCTTCAACACACTGTTTGGTAATAACAATACAGAATCCATTAACAATGCTGTTGATACTGAATATTGCTGTTAGCGCCTTTGGTGACCACATGTAGAACAGAATGATCCACTGCAGGGTCCTGCACCATGTCCATAATCAGTTGCAGAACATAATCGATAATCAATAGGGTTTTCATTGGCTGGTTTTCAGAAGCTGATCAATACGAATTAGATTGATGGCACTGGGTTTGGTTTTTGGTTTTCTTCCTAGTCTGCCGTAGTCTGGAAGCTCCACTGAAACCTATTCAACATCATAACACACAAGCCTCCACCGACAGGTGTTTGCTGTACACTGGTGGAATGGTCAAGACTTAAACCTGGGTCTCCACATGTAAGGAAGGACTTGCACCACCACTGCCTGCAATTTATATCAGATTCAGCAAGGAGCCCCGTTGGTCCTGTGTGTTAAGCAATGGACTGATAGCCACAAGACTGGTGGTTCAAACTCACCAACTGCTCAAGACAAAGATGAGGCCTGTACCCCTGTAGAGATTTACAGTCTGGGAAACCCTTTTGAGTTGGTTTCACTCTGTTCTATTGGGTCACTATGGGTTGGAATCAACTTGATGGTAGTATGTTTGGTTGGGTAGTTGAGGGTTACTTTTGTCACCAAGGAAAGCTAGTTTTGTGGGGAGGGTTTGTTTTTGTTTTATTTTAATTTACAAAGAAAACAGGCTCTTCTAGAACCTTCCAACATCTACTTTTCACCTGCCCTATCTATACAACAATCATGAGCCCGGGTGGCATAATAAGTTACGTATTGGGCTGCTAATCTCAAGTTCAGCAGTTCGAAACCACTAGCTGCTCCAAAGGAGAAAGATGAGGCTACCTGCTTCCATAAGAATTACAGTCTCAGAAACCTATGGGGGCAATCTGAGCCTGTTCTATAAATTCACTATGAGTTGGAATTGACTTGATGGCAGTAAGTTTTGCTATTTTTTATATACAACAATCGTGCTGATCTTTTAAAAATGCAAATTTAATCATATCTTTCCATGCTTAAGATTTTCTTCAGTGGGTTCATAAGAATATAAACTAGAACTACTTTAAAAAGTTATCATTCTGGAGGTATATGCCTTATAGAAACTCTTCCACACATGAACCAGGAGGTAAGTCAAAGAATGTTCCTTTGGGCAGAATTATTCATAATAGCCCCCAAATGGATAAATCCAAATATCCATTAACAAGATGGTATCCATTAACAAGATGGACATACAAGTGTTGGTATATATTCATAAAATAAAAATACTAATAAGCAATAGAAGCAATAAGATAAACCACAAATAATATGGCTAAATCTCACACACATAACATTGAGTGAAAAATGCCACATACCAAAACCATAAGCCCTGTGTACGCAGGGGCCCTGCAGTGTGTTGTTGAAAGCACCCAGGGAGCTTTGAGGCACTGCAGGTAGTGTTTGAGCACTTGACCCACAAGTGTGTTCATTCTGTGGCAATTCATCAAGTTTGCACTTTGCTGTAGGTAATGTTTACTTCAATTAAGTTGGCCAAATATGCCAGTCTCTCTTCTTTTGTCCTAGAGTCATGATAAATAGCCTTAATCTAGTTAATTCACCCTCCAGAGTTAGTCTGACTAACCAAAAACAGAGGTTTTCCCTGACTTCTCAATGGAAACTAGGTTCTCCAAATTCAGGTCTCACAACACCTAAAACCTTATGAAGTAGTTTTACTTCATAAATTATTATAATTTGTATGCTTATTTGGCATCTGACTCCCCAAATGAATGGCAAATTCCATGAGACTACTTTGTCCTTTGACTATCTATCACTGAATATACAAAGCTTAAGAAGTGTCCTTCCAAACTCACTGCCATCTAGTCCATGCTGACTCACACAACCCTCTTTGACAAGACAGAACATCCCTGTGAGTTTCTTAGACTGTAACGCTGCATGGGAGAGGAAAGCCCAGTCTTTCTCCTTGAAGCAGCTGGTGGTTTTGAAATGATGACTCTGGGGATTGCAGCCCAATGCATAACCACTATGCCTCAGCTGTCGGGGAAAAAAAGGCATCCAAATACTGTTGAACATTAAATTCATTTTTAAAAATAATTTTTATTGTGAATTAGGTGGTGGTAGGTTATTAAATTCTTTTTAATAAAACATATACTGCACTAATAATAAAAATAAATAAATTAATACACAAAAGAAATAAGCTTTTCTATGAAATATTTGATAAGGAAGCTCCCCTAGTAAATTAGCCCTGATGCAGCAGCAAGTCTAGGCTGAGTAGTCCAGAAGTGTGGGCTAAATCTCTGTCCTGTGCTCAAGTGCCAGGGTAAAACCAAGCAAGCCAATGACACTTCCAAGGCTATGTGCAAATGATAAGCTTAGTTTTATGAAATTTTATAATAAACCAATTTTGTTGTACAATGAGTTTAATATCACTTTGAAAATTCGAACACCATTCTTAAAATCCCTGTAATACAGGGGACAAGGTCATGAAAGGAGTTGGTTTGTCTATTTCTTCTGTGTTTGGTCAACCTCTGCGTTTTTTCCCGTACCTCCACAGCACCAGGCTGCGGCCAACCATCTGGAGATTTAGCATCTCTCTAGTCCCAAGGAGCCACTTTGGGGTGGGCCCAGGCAAGGATCAGCCATTTTCGGTGGAAAACATGTGGCCATTACTAATTATGATGATTATATATTTGGGGTTTACTGCACATTTCTTTATACTTACTATAGTAAGACACCAACTGCTTAAGAAATAAAGATGTTTAAGTTCATTCCTATAAAAACTCATTCAAATAAAAAAGCATTTTAAGAAGTCCAACCTCGGAGGGGAAGAAATCAAACTGTTGAACTTACATAGCATACTGATTGTTTATCATTTATTATATGGATGCTAAAAAAAATCCTGAACATTAAAAAATACATGTAAAAATGGTGTACTATTATATTTTGTATGCATGATCTATTTCAGCATACTTACTTTCAACACTATTAAACAGTAAAGTTGGGGGAAGCTGATATTAGGGGCTCAAGAGGGATGAGAATGTTTGAAAATGATGATGGCAGCATATGTGCAAATGTGTCTGACACACTGGAGGAATGTATGGATTGTGATAAGAGATGTGAGAACCCCCAATAAGAGTACGTTAAAAAAACAAAAAAAAAAACACTATAAAGTTGGGAGAGATCAAACAAAACCAAAAAATCAATGCCATCAAGACAATGCAGACTCATGGTGAGCCTAAAGGACAAGGCAAAACTGCCCCTGTGGGTTTCTGGGAGTAGAAAGCTCTTTATGGGAGTATAAAGCCTCATTTTCCTCCTGAGGAGAAGCAGGTGGTTTCAAACTGCTGCCTTTGTGTTACCTGCCCAATACATAACCACTACTGCCTTTGAGGCTCCTTCTGGGGCAAGCATTTAAAAAGTTTGAGATAACAAACAGGTAAAGAAGAGAAATAGATTAGGTAATAAACCAAATACAGTACTATTACAAGATTATACCATGAGAATTAAACATGAATAACATCAATTTTCTCCATTAGAACACATCAAAAATGAACTATTTACTGTACTTAAAACCTCAGAAAACTGATGTTTTACATTTAACAAAACAATAGAAGGGGGGGGTAATCTGAGAAAAAAAGCCTTTAGTTTTTATTTTCCTTCAAAAGAGTTCAAAGAAAAAAATTCATGACCTAAAGTCTCGCTTTTTAAAAAATGTCTAGATGTGCATGCATCTTCTGTCATTTCAAATAACCATGAAATTTAATCTTTAATGAATTGTTGTTCACTATCAAACTACATTTCTTTTTAATGTGTAAGGAGGAAGTAAAATACAGAATTGTCAGAATGGTAAGCACTAGGAAAAGTAAAAAAAACTGCGAAAAGGGTTAAGACATTGTAATGTAAACCTGAAGTTACAAAAGGCAGTTTGAAAACTTTTTTTACGTATAAAGACTGTTCTACTCAGTCCTCTGAGAAAATGCATCTTCCCGTGAGCATTCCGAATGAGGTTTCAGGAGCAGTACTAAACAATATAGGTTAAAAAATCTTAGGTAGTTTTGAAATAAAGATTGTAGCAATTGCTTATATAGTTGTCTACTCTCAACCTAAACCATCTAAGTTAATTTAGTTTTTCATAAAATTCATAAACCCAATTTTGAGCATCAGTCCCCAGCAAAATTACATGTAGACATTGGACAAAAAGACAAACTTTTTAGCCTTCACTGAAGAAATTTCACTAAGTCCAGTGGAGGTAAAGAAATGCAACTCAGGTTGGGATGGAAGAAAGACTTAAAATTTATTCACTTAGCCCATACACGAGCAATGAAACAGCAAATATTCAGACATCCAGTGCATTTACGCCTATGTCAAAGTTTTAAAGCTTTCAAATTTGGTTTATGCTTGATGAGTAACTGGAAAATAAGAAATGCACTTGAACATGATGAACTTAAGAAAAGTAGTAATAGTACGCAAAAGATAGGAGGGCATTTTAAGTGTTTTTCTTTACAACTGATAGTCAATTAAAGAAGTCTTTCTTAACTTCGCGACTGGGTAGGATCCCCCCATACTTCCTGCTTACGTACTTACCACAATTTTAAGTGACACATTAAAGAAATAGCTACACAATAAATGAATGATACAATTTATTTCCCACTCCCCCACTGCAAACCACAAACGAGCAAAAGCTGTTACAAAAAAGCTGTTACAATCTGTTCACAATCCCTGGGCATACCTAAGTAATTATTTGCTAAAAGAGGGAGGGGTGTGCCGGGAGAAAGGCTACCTTAACATTGCACAAGTTTGTCTACTTTTTTTATTAAAATAACAGGATTTGGGGGCTTTCAAAATTAAATTCACTTAATTTTTATTTTAAATAAACCCAGCTTGGCCTTTAGTCCAAAGTCTCCAACAGTTTAAAGAATTAGTGAGCGCTGGGACGCAAGTAATAGTCTAAAGACAGCAAATAGTAGACGCTCAACGTATGCTTGCTCAAAGACTAAACTGTGAGTAAAATAAAGTGACCCAAAAGAGATCCAGTCTAGAGGTGACTGTGGACAGAGGGAAGCGCCACCATATGCACGCTGTGCTTCCCTTTGCCTGTAGTGGAGTCCTCAGATGGCCCCTCTCTGGGGTCCAGGCCATTTCAACGCCCCACAGCGTCCAGTTGATTAAAAACGGCTTGGGGAGTGAAATGGGAGTCAAAGCTTGACAACGCAGCCACAAAACTCGTGTCTTTGGAGCTAAAAGACGAGTCTCCCCTTCCAACGTCCTTTTTCCGCCCACTCTACAAGTGTCAACATCAAGCTTGAACTAGGGACATCAAATCCCAGAATGTCCCCATAGCCAGGTTTTTTAAAAAAGCAGAGTTTGCCAGGCTCGTGACACCGTGGCCAAGAGCGGCCAAGTTCGCCGAGTCCGGAACTGGCGGACTCCCGGGTCACCCCACCGGGAGGGAGCGAGGCTGACCGAGAGGACGGCGGCGGTGAGCGCGCGCGGGGCCGGGGTCCCAGTGTCCAGCAAGGGTCCCCACCTCCGGTTCAGAAAGGCGGGCACAGGCTCCGACGTGGCCGGGGAGCGCACCGCCGCCTGCAGGTGCTCGGGCCTCGTGGACACCGGAAAGAAGCGGCGCCGCCCGCTGTCCTCGACCCCGGGCTGGCCGGCAGGCCTAACCTCGCTCCCTGCCCGGCTCGCCCACTCGCACCCCGCACCCCCTGCCGCGACGCCGGGCTCGCCGTTGGCCGTCCCGCCGCGCGCTCCAGGGGCGAGGTCCGGAGGCGAACGCGCGGCCGCCGAGCACTCACCATTGTCAGCACCGCCACCGCCGCGTCCCCCCCACTTCACTCCGCTTGCCTCTGGAGAACTCCCAGTCCCGGCTCCCTCCGCCCCGGCGCCCCGTCACGTGACTTCGGGCCGCCTGCCGCACGTGACCCCTCCCTTCCTCCCTCCGCCCCGCCTCCACGTCTCCGGGCCTCTCGCCCCGCCCTGCTAGCCAGCCGGGTCCCCGGGAGAGAGGCTGATTAGAGGCGGGGCGTCGTGCTCCACCCCTAGGCAGAAGAGGCGGGACCAGTGCCGCCTCGTCCAATGAGAGAGGCTTTGAGAGACGTCCGTACGCCACGTTCGCCCCGCCTTCTCTCTGCTTCCCGACTGGCGAGTCGCAGGCCGTCTTTGCTACGGGCCAGTTCACTTCCTAGTAGAGGTTTCTGTGGCTGCAGGAAGGACGTGTTTTCTCCGGAGGTGCTCTCTCGGGTGCGCAGGAGAATGGGAACTGGGACCCGAGGCCTCACCGTGGGACATGTTTTCTCTCTTTTTTTTTTTTTAAGACATGTTTTCTTAATCCGGAGATGATAGGGGTTTGGTCCATCTTTCTTGAAACTTACCCAGTTTTCCCTCCTTCAGAGAGCTGCTGTGTGCTGAAAAGTTGCTAGGTCTGCGGTTTATTGCCTCTGAAGAAACAATAAAAAAAATCTTAGTGTCAAAGGATGGTTACTCAAGTACACGGGTCGATCTGTAAAGTACAGCTCTGAACAATTCAAGGGCACTCAAATCAATTGTAACTCCCTGACCCAAAGAAAGGATGCCCCTTAAAGAGAAAACGTCCATGCATAGACAGTGCCTTACAACATCCTCAGTGATCGTAGGGCAAGCCTAGAGGACCTTCGAAAACAAATACTCCTTAGGACTTAACGGAGGGTTGACCACCACAGTGGTGATACATAACCAAAGCAGGAAAAATTCACTGGTTCTCTAAGCGGACTACAATGATCTAATCAGAACAGGTAAAAAAAAAAAACAAGTTCATGAAACAGAACTGTGAAACAAGTCTCAAATTTAAGAAGATTGACTGGAAAGAGCCATCTCCTCGGGATTTGCAGGTTCAGAGACTCACAGGGTCCGTTCTACCGGCCCTGTCGGGTGGCTATGAGTCCGAATTGACTGGATGGCAGTGGAAGTGATGCCCTAGGGGGATGATAATATTCTCCAGCATAAACTGACAATGATAGCTCTAAGGCGGCGGTTCTCACACTGTGGGTCACAACCCCTTTGGGGGTCAGTCAACCCGTTCACAGGGGTCACCTGATTCATAACAGTAGCAAAATTACAGTTATGAAGTAGCAACGAAAATAATTTTATGGTTGGGGGTCATCGCAACACGAGGAACTGTATTAAAGGGTTGCGGCATTAGGAAGGTTGAGAACCACTGCTCTAGGGTAAACCAAAGACATACATAAACCATGAATGGATTTTGGACTTGCACTAATTCTAGCCCCAAACTAAGAACAATTAGTTCTTATGACATGGCCCTGCTTGATGCTTGCTTTTACGAAGATACGGGTGCTGTGGCAAAGTGTGATGAAGAAACTAAATGGTACCTGGCTGTCAGAAAGAATATCCTCTGAGGTCTTAAAGTCCCATGGAAGAAGCTCACCAGCCTGTGTGATCTAAGGATTGTAAATAATATAATCCAAATCAAGGAGAGCATAGATATCATAGATTGTGAACACCTGGTTTGCAGAAGGCTATCGATGACAGTGGAAGCCCAAAGCCCATCTGCAGGATCCACACATGGATTAAGCCTCCAGTAAATCCTCTCTGATCATAGATGAGGGCTGTGAATAAGGCTGTTATCAGAGAGAATTGTAAAGTTGATACGGCAGACATAGATAGAAAATGTAATATCATTTGTTTTCCCTTTTAACTTATTTTAAAGCTCTTTCAGCTTTAACAATGAAAAGTGGTGCTCACCTCCCTGATACAATCGCTGAAGACAAATGGGTGCATAAGCAAATGTGGCAAAGAAAGCTGATGGTGCCCGGCTATCAAAAGATGCAGCGTCTGGGGTCTT